GGGCGAGCTGCTACTACAGGTTAGTGCTCCTCCCCGGCCACCTCTCCCTGGCAGACGCCTCCAAGGGATTTTCCTCTTGTCCCCTTTTCAGCTCCTTTGAATTTTACCCAAAGAGCCGGCTGTTCTGTTACTGATTGCAGGATGTTTTGGCAAAGCAGCGATTTCATGTGGTGTAGCTCATAGTGCTCCTGACTGAGCAGAGATTTAAGACCTCTTCAGGTCCCTGGGGCAGAAAATGTGTTGCTTTTCCCTTCCTTTTCCCATCCTTCCTGGAGAAAATTGCCATCTGTTAATTGTCTGTGTGTAAGAAACGCCCCATCTTGGTGGGAGCGGCACTGAATTTCTGAGTACGGAGATTCAGCTCTTCCACTTCTCTGCCCTGGTGTGTAAACGGGCCATAGGTGTGACACGGGACCCAAGCAGAGCAAGACGTTTTGAGTGCGGTTCTCAACATGGGCACCCCGGTCCCAGCTCGGGGTTGTTGTCCAAACACTGGTGAAAACAGGGAGGAAAACGTGGTGGAAGTCTTCCCTGATTTTTCAGGCAGTGATGCATGACACCGAGCACATAGGTAGGTGCTGATGGGCCATATGCTCAGCCCATATACGCAGGGCTCGTGGATGTATCCCAGGAGCTCTGCGAGAGGCCTATAGTTGGTTCCTTTGGTGATGCTGCAGCACGGTTGGGCTGAGCCTGCTGCTTCCACGGCTTATTCGGAGACGCCAGGAGGTGACCTCCTGTCTACAGACCGGGCGCAGTGAATAGCAAGAGCTCAGGCTCCGGCAGCGCGGGGTCCTGCGAGGACGCAGGTCTCGCCTCCGCGCCTGGCACCCAGGCACAGGCAGCGGCGCTGTCGTCCGGAGCGGGGTGGTCAGCCCCAGCTCCCATCCAAAAGCTCTCTCGGCAGTAAGTGTAGTTGCTGTCCTGCCTGAGGGCTGGGGAGCCAGGGTCTCAGTCCCTAGTGAGAGAAATGCTAAAGCCAGGCTGGTTAATAACCAAAAACCTGAGGGTTTTCCACTGTGGCTATAACAAAACCGTGCTCAGCAGGGCTTGCTGGGGATTGATGTCCTGCTCCTTAACTCCTCCCAGAGTTTGATGCCATTCTTTCAGAGGTACCAAGCTGGGTGTTAAAAGCTCTGGGTTTAGGTTTGGCTCTCGCAGGGGTCCATCTGCATGATGCTGGACGCGGCAGGGGCTCAAGACCTGCCTCTGTGCCCCAAGGAAATGCTCCTACGTGTTTATAAAACCTCTTCCACCCGGTCTGTCACCTTGGACATCCAAACTTCCTTTGTCTCATCTTGTGGTCCACCCTGGTTCTCCCCTTTCCCTCCTCTAATTTTCCAGCCTTACTTTTTTGGTCTGTCCTTTTCCACCAAGGCTCTGTACTGCAGCAATCTCAGCAGAAGATGGTATCTTAAACTGAGGTTAAGCGTGAAAGGCCTCAGCAAGGCTGAGAACTGGGTGGACCACCTCTGCCCAGGTGCACAGCGGTGCAGGTACATGTCGCTGGCTGCAGGGTATCAAATCTGCCTGCTGGTCAGTGCAGTTAGGGAAGGACAGAGTGCTGCAAGACGTTGCTTGCTCCTGCCGTGGCAGAGCAATGACTCTGAAGCTGCTCAAAGGGTTAAAGTGCGTTTGGCAGCACTAATTAACCTCTGCAGCAGATTCCCACACACTGGATCAACCCCAGTAAATAGAGAGCATTTGTGCCCAGAATAAAGGGAAGGAGAGGGGGGAGAAACCGACCTGGACAATGAAACAGGAGTTGGCAGCAACAATAGCTGGACTTGGCTGAGGCTACATGCTAGACCCCAATTAGTCCTGATGTCTATACTTTATGAAGTGGGGGAAACAGGCCAGGGCTGGCTACTGTGGCTTCCCTGCCTGCAGCCAGGTTGGTGGTACAGGATGGTTTTGGCTCTGGACAGCCATAGGGCTTCTGAGGAGGTCCATGCTTCAGGAGGAGCCCTGCCTTCTAGCGGGGTCCTGCTTGGAGCTGGCAGGAGTGTCCCTGCCGGGGACCCGTTGCCCTAAGGGAGGGATGGCCGGATGGTGCTGTCACATCTCTGAAAGCTGTTCAGCTTCTGGAGAGCTAAACCGATGATTTTCTTGTGTTTTCATGACCTTTGCTCTTAGGGAGCACCATGGGCTTGAAAGTGTTTGCTATAGGTGTTTAGTCTATAGGGTTTGTTTCAGAACTGGGGAAACTGAGTCACAGAGTGACGTCTACCACTCGGGGTCAGGGGGAGACTCCTGTGGGCTTGCTCCCAGCCCTGGCAAGGTGACGACATGGTCTTCAAAGCACCGGGCTCTGCGCCACCGGGGCTCTCCCCCACGGTCGGCAAAGGCTGGCGCAGTGCCTGCCGCGCTTAGGAGCGCTTTGGGGTGCTCCTCCGGATCCTGCTGGTGCCTGTATTAGCCGTGCTTTCGCACACATCAGCTCCTGCCTGGTGCCTGGGAGCAGGGATGAAAAGCCAGGGCTCCTGGGACAGCAGCTGCACTCCCAAACTGGTAGGGAAGCTCCTCTGCACCTTCTTATTCATGGATCTCCAGGTGCAAAGGACACCATCAGCCAGCACCCTGGTCCTTTCTCCTGGGTCCTGTCCTGCAAGCTCTGGGGCTGCCGACTCAGAGAAAACACCGATCACCTCCTAAATTTGTTAAGCTGGTAGGAATAAGCCCCTCTGAGGAAGACGGAGGCTCCGATCAGCTCAGCCCATTCCTGCCTGGGAGCGCAATGCTCCCTTGGATGTTGACTTTGCAGTCCTGAGGAGAGGATGGAAGGGCAAGTGAACTGTAAAATACGTAAGTTGTGTAGCATTAAAAATACATCAGAAACTTCAGATTGATGGCTGCATTTGCTGTTTTCTGTGGGGAGGGCTTAGTGCTTCGAGCTTGCATGGGCGAAGCAGCTTGAGTGTTTATTTTGTGACAACAGAGGCCAGCGTTGAGGTGGAGGGCATGCATGAACGAGCATGTGCTCCGGGTTGGGGTGTTTGCGGTGTGTAAATCCGTACACCACGCAGAGGGAGAGCTCCAGAGGAAGAGGAGCGTGGGTGGGAGTGTCTGGTGGCTAACGAGTGCATCCCAGGCATGGGTGGCTGCAGATGCCCTTTAGCCCACGAGCACCGGTGCTTGGTCCTTTCGCTGCCATGTGGTGCTTTGGAAGGATGGTGCTGTGCAGGTCGGATGAGTGCCTTGCAGCAGGTTGTCGCTGGGTACGTGTTTGGGTTAATCATTTATTTGCCAAAAAGAAAAAGTACTCTGAGGTCAACCAGTGATTCTGCAGTTTTCACCCAAATCCAGGGACCAGATTCGGTGTGTCCTCCTGTTTTTGGAAGAAAATGGCTTTCCAGAAACCGGACCTTTTCGTTACAGCTTCAAGAACCAAACTCTTATGCTTTAGCTTTCAGCCTTTCTGTTTTCACTGGTGAAAGCTCTTTGCAGCCTTGGGTTGGCCACCTCGACCTCAGGGCAAGCAAGGGCAGGAGGAGGGAGCAGGCAGTGGGGACAACACCTCTAGGCTGGTCCCTTGTTCCTCGCCTGTCGGCAGCCCGCACGGGCACACCACAGTCCTTCTCCAGGCCTCTCCTCTGGCAACTGGGGAGAACAGGAGGGACGTGAACGAGGCCGGGAGCTGGCTGGGTTTCTCCCAAACCTGCAGGCGTAGCCCCATCCACATGGGCCAAGCAGCAGCAGGGAGCGCTCAGCCAACGCCGGCAGCATGCGGTGATCTGCGGCAGGTTTGCTCTCCACGGAGCAACCCCCACTTTTCCAGGCTCATGCTGTCCTAAGCCGCACATGGCTGCTGAGACCCTCCCAGGCTGCGGGGAGGATGGGAGCTACATGAGCAGAGCCGCCCAGGTAGACGCAGGTCAGCATTAATGCAGCCGACATGAAACGCTCTTTTGATTCAAGGTTGTCGGAAAGGCTTGTTTCCACCAGAATACCAGAATGGACCAGTTCCTGATGGCGTCCAGTTTCGTTCTGCAAGCTGTTCTGAGATTTGTATTTGCTCTTCGCATAGGATGAGTATAAATGTCCAAATCTGAGTCTGAGCAAATGCTCCTGGGATGAAAGCAAAGTTTTCCATCAGTTTGGATTAGGATATGCTCAGGCAGCTGTACGGAAGAGCTAAGTGACCTCAAAGAAACCCAGTAGAAGGTATTGTCTGTTTTCTCAGTGAGCATAGCTCTGCCAGCGTTGGTCCCCATTTTTCTCTGTCCAGCCTTTAGTGGAGTTTGCCCAAGCGAGGCAGAGCAGAGGATAATCTGAGAATGAGCTGCAGGCCTTGACCTCTGCCAGGCAAAGCAGACTCATCAGGTCTGCGAAAACCCGTGGTTTAGGTGCATGCGCTCCGGCACCGTGACGAGGTACGTGCAAAGAGGCAATTGCAAGGATGGAGGTCTCTGGTGCTGTTCCCATCCTGCACAAGGGTTTGGAACCAAGAAACCACTTGAACAGTGCATTGGGGGATTTGGTGAGAGCCAGGGCAGCACCCGCTGTTAACCGCACTGAGGTGCCATTGGGACAGGCTTCCTGTGCTTTGTCTCCTGCCCTGCACCTTCCTCTTGGTGGGGCAGCGGCTCAGCTGCCTGCTTGCTGGGACCAGCCAGGGCTCGGGTGACCATTGTCTGAGCAGGATGGAACTTGCTGCCCTGCTAGAAAAGAGTGAGGTGAACATGGCACGTACCTGCTGATCTCCTCTCGCTCCTAGGCGCTCAACGGCTTCGTGCTGGTGGTGACATCGGAAGGACTGATATTTTACTCCTCGCATACAATTCAGGACTATCTGGGGTTTCATCAGGTTGGTGGGACACCTCAGGGTCGCTGTGGTGGGTTTGCAGTCTGGGTTTTTCCGTGGTGGTGGTGAATAGCCCCAAGTTCCCTGCAGAGAGGAAGCTTTGCAGAGACCATAGGGTCTGGGGGGGCTGCATGGGCCTTTTCCTTGGTGTTGTGAATTTGGACCCCATGTTGCCAGATGTGGTCACTGGGAGGTATCAACACAACTCCGCTAGCCCACAGATGCTTTCCACCAGCCATGTTGACAGGCTATGAGGTTCATGGCCCTGTTGTGTAATGCCATGGTGAGACATCTGGGGTTCCCTGCCCAGTTTGCCTTTGGGCACCCGCTTCCCTGGGTGACCCCTGGTAAATCCCATAAGGCTCCAATGCTTTGAGGTTATCTGGGCACCTGGGTAACCTGGAAGGCAGTAGGTCAGATTTACGGGGAAGTGGGACTTGCCTACAGTCCTTCAGTTACTGTGGTTTGCTGTTGCTCCCACACAGCTGGCTTTCCCCAACATCTGGAGTAGATGAGGACTGCCCAGCTGGGCAGAGGGAGCAAGTCCCGGAGCAGGTGCCTTGTTCTCTTGGGAACAGTGTAGGAATGGGGTGGCTTTGCTGCTGTTTTGTTCCCAAATTCACGTTTTCGTCTCATCCCATAAGTCAGCGGTAGGATTTTGAAGGACACCGTGTTACAGGGACAAGCGTGTCAGAGCGGAGCTGTATTGCTGATGCTAGTGGTTCTTTAGGATGGGGAGGGGAGGTCTGGCCCAACATGGGCAAGGGGTCCTTAGAGCTAGATGTGCTGTCTGTTCCCACCAGCATCAGCTCTGGTGGAAGGTGTCCCTCAGTCAGCCAGGGACCTAGTGGAGCACCAGGGAAATGGGGTGAGATATGGTCAGCTGGGGTTATGACAGGCTGTTTCCAGGTGGGATGTGAAAACTGTCACCTGGGGGCAGGCCACAGAGCTCACGCGTTACTTTTCTTCTCTAGACAGATGTCATGCACCAGAGCGTCTTTGAGCTGATCCACACCGAGGACCAGGAGGAATTCAGGCGCAACCTCCGCTGGGCGCTCAACCCACCCCACGCTCCCGAGGGTGAGCCTTCTGCGGAAGGTAAACACAGGCTGGGAGCCAGGCGTCCTGGTTGGCACGAGATGTGTAGCTCCCCACGTGTGCCGGGGAGCCCAGCTTGCAGGGGGCTTGCGTCCTTGTGGCTCAAGCCATGGCTTCATCCAAACATCGTGGCTTTCCCTGCATTTCTGTTGCTGTCCTCTGCAAACTGCCGCAGTCCCTGATGCTGGGGACCTCCAGCCCTCGCTGGAGACCCTTGCTTGCTCCTCTTTCAGTCCCTCTCTCCTACAGGAGGGAAGAGTCTCAGCTCTTCTGCTGTCACCTACAAGCCAGATCAGCTGCCCCCAGAAAACTCCTCCTTTCTGGAAAGGAGCTTCGTGTGCCGCTTTCGCTGCCTCCTGGATAATTCCTCCGGCTTCCTCGTGAGTACAGACCTGCACTGCAACCTCCACAGCAGGAGGGTGCAGGCTCACCCCGAGGGGTCCGTGCCACTGCTGGAGCATAAAAGTTGGCCTTGAAAGACCCGGCACTCCTTTCTGCCACGTGCGGCACCTGCCTGTCTCAACAAGGAGCTATTTCTGCTATTTTTCATAGGTTTGGTCTGTACCTACAACCTCTCTGTGTGAGTTTTGTTCCTCTCTTCTCAGAGATGCTCAATCTTGAACAGAAGTGCTTTTCTTCCACATATTTTCCCAGGTTTTTGTGTTAAAGGCGTCTCTTAAGACCAAGTAGGTGATGTTCATCCCTCCTCTGCTCTGCTGCAAGTTAATGGGGTTCTTGCCTTCGGAACCACAGCTCTAAGGACTCTGTTTCTCCCTCTCATCCCGCTTTAGTCTGGAAACTCAATACAAAGAAAGATTCCTGGCTGTCCCTTGTTTAGAAGCAATACTGTGATCCCTGATGGGGCTGTGATGTAGCTCGGTTAAAATGCAGCAGCCTGTGCATTGCGCGATGCCCTGATGCAACTGCAGCCTGTGCTCGGTCCTGCAAGCCGCTGTGCGTCCGAGCCCCGGGCCGGCAGTGGGCTGCTGCCACGGGGAGCTCGGCGTAGCGTCACTTTGATCCTCCGTCTTATTTTAGTGGGGAGCACTGGAGTCGCAAGGGACAAGTCGCAAGGGATTATTTGCATCGACTCTGCAGCGATGTGGCTTGCTTTCCGTGCAGCTCTCTTCCCTCTCGTCTCTCTCCACCCAGTTTTCTGTGTGACACTGAGCTTTTCTTCTCTTCCCAGGCTTTAAACCTGCAAGGCAGGCTGAAATTCCTTCATGGGCAGAACAAAAGGTCTGAAGACGGGTCTGCACTGCCACCCCAGCTCGCTCTCTTCGCTATCTCCACCCCCTTGCAGCCCCCGTCCATCCTGCAGATCCGAACCAAGAACATGATCTTCAGGACAAAGCACAAGCTGGACTTCACCCCCTTGGCCTGCGATGCCAAGTAAGCGGCAGAGCCGATCTGAGGGGCGATGCTGCGGGCTTCCAGCTTGCCAGTCCATACCCTGCCTGGGTGATGTCCCACCCCGGCTCGTCTCTGAGCTGGGTCCGTTCTCCATCTCCCGCAGGGGGAAGATCGTTTTGGGCTACACCGAGGCGGAGCTGCGGATGTGTGGCACCGGCTACCAGTTCGTCCACGCTGCCGACATGCTGTACTGTGCTGAAAACCATGTCAGGAGTGAGAGTCTCTTCCCGTGGTCCCTCGTGCCCACCCCTGAGGCTGAGGAGTGGGCTGGGCTATGGGCAGCTCCGCTGGCTGCCGTGTGGAGCCTGGCGGCTCTTTCCCCATAGGATGCTTTGCTTTATGCCTTCCTCTGATGCTCTTGTCACTGCAGGGAGCTTGGGGTGGAGTCGTGCCCACCCCTGAGGCTGAGGAGTGGGCTGGGCTATGGGCAGCTCCGCTGGCTGCCGTGTGGAGCCTGGCGGCTCTTTCCCCATGCGTCGCTGGGGGCAGCCCTGCCTCCAGTGCCATGCTGACAGCCCTCGACAAGCGTGCTTCCTCCTCTCGGCAGTGATGAAGACGGGCGAGAGCGGCCTGACAGTCTTCCGCCTGCTGACGAAGGAGAACCGCTGGAAGTGGGTGCAGGCCAACGCGCGTCTGGTCTACAAGAACGGCAAGCCCGAGTACATCATTGTCACGCAGAGACCCCTCGTGTGAGTGCCGGCTGGCCCAGCCCTGGCTGGGATGGGGACAGGCTGGCTTCTTCCATCGGTGTGGGCTCTGGGACGCCCCAAGCAGAGCAGGGTGTTCGATTTGTCGTTGCTTCTTGTGCATTTTAAAGGAGCAGCCGTAGGATACTGTGCTTTGATGCTGTTCAGCCACATCCCCCTCTGCAAGGCCACCCTGCAAGTATGAGAGAGTGCTGAGCAGTGCCCTGCACCTCACATCCCTGCCCCAGTGTCCTGGGCACCGCTCCAGACTTAGCCTGGGGAGACTGGTGGCTGCTCTCCAGCAGCTGTAGGGACAGGCAGGTGCAGGAGCAGCAAGGACCTCAAAAAAAAAATGGCAGCGGCCCAACGTGGGGCTGCAGCATAGATGAGCAGGGCAAAGGTGTGACTCCTGTCTGGCAGAGCTGTGTTACCCTTTGCATTTCAAATATCTGCTTGGTTAGGCTACAGATACATGTTTGTATGTGTGTATATATATACATATATATAAAAATATGTATGCGTCTGTGTATTTGCACGTAAAAGCATACATAAATGTATATTAGTGTGGTTTTGTTCGGTACGTGGATGGTGGTCATAGCAAAGGGGCTTTGGCTTGCAGGAATCACAATTACTCATTGCAGAAGCCGTTCATGGCGTGTGTTTGTGCATATATAAGCCCTGGTCTCTTCTTCCTGCCCTGCAGAGATGAAGAAGGAGGAGAGCACCTTCGGAAACGGTCCATGCATCTTCCCTTTACCTTTGCTACAGGAGAAGCGCTCTTATACCAGAGCGCTTACCCTATCCCAGGCTTCCCTGACCCTTTCCAGAGCAAAGGGAAAACCAGCAAGTCCAAGAAGACCTCCCACAGCCATGGAGGGCGCTCCCAGAAGGATGGTGTTGACCCCAGTTCTCTGCTGGGCGCTGTGATGCAGCAGGACAAGGCGGTGTACGCCTCCCACCCAGCTCCCACACCTAACCGCTCCTTCAGCAGCAGTTTCGTGGACCACCTTGAGGATGTGTCCTTGCTGGATTCAGGAGGAGATGCCTGGCGTATGGGCGCTGCTCCAGCTTCTTCAGGCGGGGGCAATCTCAAAGAGGAGCTGGTGGATTTGCAGCAGGAGGACCCTCTCTTGGCCACCCTGGACTCACTCTCAATTAAAAGTGATGAGAGCTGTTCCAACAGTGAGCTGTTCAGTGCACTGGAGGGCCTGGGGTTGAATGCTGAAGACCTGGAGCTCCTGCTGCTGGATGAGAAAAGGGTGATGGTCAATATGGACCCCGACCACACCCCATCCCTGAACGACTGCCTTGCCAGCAACGATATTCTATCCTACATCCACACCACGCTGGTGAGCAAGCACGAGGGAGGACAACAGGTCTGTCCCCTGCCAGGCACGTCCCCAAGCCCATGTGGAGGCACTGCTACGTACCAGGCCCACGTGGAGGCCCAGGACTCGCAGTACCTGCCCCAGAATGTGCTGCAGCCTGGCATGGCCCCCGGCCAGCCCCCTGCTCCGCTGTGGGAACA